GACAGAAGAGGGAACTAAAGCTTGAGTCATACACACGGCCGGAAGAGGCAGGGCCAGGAGAGGACCCAGGTCAGTCCGACTCCAAAGGTCACGTTCAATGCCACTTCCTCATTTTCCACACACAAAAAAAGTATATGTTTTACAGACAAACAAAGGCTGTTGTCAGAGGCTGGGCATTGGCCGGCTCTCAGTGTCTCTGTGATGGGCCGTGGTGGGCCTGCTGGGTTCTAGAGGGAGGAGACAAGTGTGCTGAGGCTCCGGGGTCAAGGGGGCAGACTCAGTGAGCACCAACGCATCACTGAAGCAAGTCTTGCCTCATAAGGGTGTCTCCAGCACAGAAGTTCTTCCATTGTAGACACAGCTGATCCTCACAGCCAATTGGCCTGGAGGTCAATTCCTCCCAGTGATACCAACATCATGGCTTAACTATTGTACAACAAGACTGTGCACACAGCCCACAAGGAGTGCACCACTGGTGTCCCCCTGAGGTAACTGGGGAGGCTGAGCCACTGGGCCCTGCCAGGACATCTAGCACACAAAGCCACTCTATCAACTCATGGAAACAGCCAAAATGCAGAGACAAAGAAACAGGTCACAAATGAAAGAAATGGAGGAAAGTAAACAACTGGATATAGAGTTCAAAACCACAGTTATAAGGTTTTTCAAAAATTTTCTAGAAAAGGCCGATAAATTTAGCAAGACTCTGGAGGATAGGAAAAAGTACCAACTAGAAATTAAGCATACACTGACTGAAATAAAAAATAATATACAGAGGTCCAACAGCAGACTAGAGGATCACAAGAATCAAGTCAAAGATGTGAAATACAAGGAAGCAAAAAAACACCCAACCAGAAAAGCAAAAAGAGTCCAAAAATATGAAGATAGTGTAAGGAGCCTCTGGGACAACTTCAATCGTACCAACATCAGAATTATGGGGGTTCCAGAAGAAGAGAGAGAGCAGGATATTGAAGGCTTATTTGAAGAAATAAATGACAGGAAACTTCCCCCACCTGGTGAAAGAAATAGACTTACAAGTTCAGGAAGTGCATAGAACCCCAACCAAAAGGAATCCAAAGAGGACCACAATAAGACACATCATAATTAAAATGCCAAGAGCAAAAATCAAAGAGAGAATATTAAAAGCAGCAAGAGAAAAACAGTCAGTTACCTACAAAGGAGCACCCATATAATTGTCAGCTGATTTCTCAACAGAAACTATGCAGGCCAGATGGGAGTGGCAAGAAATATTCAAAGTGATGAGAAGCAAGAACCTACAACCAAGATTACTCTACCCAGCAAAGCTATCATTCAGAATTGAAGGTCAGATAAAGAGCTTCACAGACAAGGAAAAGCTAAAGGAGTTCATCACCACCAAACCAGGATTACATGAAATGCTGGAGGGTATTCTTTAAGAAGAGGAAGAAGAAAAAGGTAAAGATAAAAATTATGAACAACAAATACATATATATCAAGTGAATCTAAAATTCAAGTGAATAAAAAATCTGATTAACAGAATAATCTGGTGAATAGAATCGAATCAGGGGTGTAGAAAGGGGTGTGGACCTGGGCAGGGAGGGGAAGGGGTGTGGGGAATGAGGGAAGAGACTGGAAAAAAATCATACACCTTGGATGAGGACAGTGGGGGCAGGTAAGGGCATGGGTGGGGTGGGAACCGGGTGGAGGGAAGCTATGGGGGGGAAAGAGGAACAACTGTAATAATCTGAACAATTAAAATTAAAAAAGAAGCCATCCTGGTGTAGAGATTCTACTAGTGAACAGTTTCTCCAGCATTTACCAAAATAAATTCACAATTTTATATCTTATTTTCTCCAATCAACACTGCATCAAAAAAAATATTTCTAATAAACATTTTTAAAGATGTTTATGGGAAGATAATACTTTATTCAGGAGATTACTACAATACATTAATCATATTTATGTTTGTAATTTTCACTGATATTAATAAATCTGCAATAAAGATCATTCTATATGTAGTTTTTTGCTTTTCCTTAGTTTAAATTCTCACAGTTGAATTATGGGCTCAGAGTATGAACATGCTTACTATTCTTGGTATGTATTGCAAACTGCTTTCCTAAAAGTTGTACCAACAAAACAAAAACAAAAAAGAGAGAGAAAAAAAAGTTGTACCAGCAAGCACCACCATCAACACCATCTGAGTGTGTCTGTCCCATGTACCTCATCACCAACAACAAACCAAATGTGTTGAGGTGAAATTCTGAAATTATTCTTGTAACAGTTTCATTGAACAATGCCCCCCCCCCATTTCAGTAGGTCAAGTACAGAATTAAAATGGATAATATGGAATTGAAAAATTAAAAAGTGAATTTAAAGACAAACATGATAGATTTAAACCAACTTGATAAAAAGGGCGATGTGATAGTGAGCATAGGGTTTGCATTTGACATTACATAATAAATGGCGCTTTTACAATCTTTCCCATTGTATGTTTTTCACTCTTTCTTACAAAGAAATCTAAATTAGCAACCATTAATTGTTTTATGCTAGGGGAAAAAATGTCTTAACTTAAAAGCTTTTGCTCCCATCCTCTCCTTTTTAATTTTGTTTGTTGTTGTTAATCCTCACCCGGGGATATTTTCCCACTGAATTTTAGGGAGAGTAAAAGAGAGAGGGAGAGACAGAGAGAGAAACATCAATGGGAGAGAAACACATCCACTGGCTGCGTCCTGCAGGAACCCTGACCAGAGCCCAGGCTGGGGAAGAGTTTGCAACCAACGTACATGCCCTTGACCAGGAATCAAATCCAGGACCCTTTGGTCTCCAGGCCATCACTATCCACTGAGCCAAACTGGCTAGGGCTCCCTTTTTATTTTTTAAATTCCAAAATGTGAGGCCAGTATTAGCTCGAGTTCTAGAAGTAGAGCCGATTCAGAACTGACCCTGGTGCCTCTTTAAAATCTTTTTTTCCGCCCTAACTGGAGGTTTGCAGGAGGCAGCTGATTGGTGTTTCTCTCTCATCGATGTTTCTAACTGTGCCTCTCCCTTCCTCTCTGTAAAAAATCAATACGATATATTTTAAAAAATAAATAAAATCAAGTATTTTCCCCTAGCAGCTCTCCTCTCTCTCCTCCTCTGAACTCTAAAGTCCTCTGCTTCCCTCGCTCCAGTTTTTGCCTCCCACTCCAAAGGGCCTCCTACTATTTCCTCGTCCAAGTTCTGTTTCACCTCAAATAGTCTCTCCCTTCTTTAGGAATAAATATCTTTAAGCCAGAAAATGGGAGCGGTAGAAAAATCTAGCCTATAAAGAGAACGATACCCATGTCATTTAGCATTTCTGGAAGACATGAGGCATTTTAACTGATGGAGAACAGCCTTTCCGGATAAACCTAACAAATATTTTGGTTTTGGGACTCTTCTTGGTCTGAATGATGGCATCCCGGAGCTGGCCGCTGAGCCTGGGCTGTTTTGCGAATGTGCTGCTCAGATAAGCGAGCAGACTTCTGCCTGCCTGCGCTCCCGCACTTAACTCTCATGAAATAATAATGAAGCAGGAGGCCTGGGTGTTCGGATTGTTTGTTTTCTCCTAGGGCTGCTGCTTCTCACTTAGGCGACCTTGGGCAAATCTATGCCCTCCCTCATCTCCATATACCCGTGTCCGGATAACGGTTACGACTAAGAGGCTTCCTGAGATCTTCAGATGACCCATGGTGCCTGCCCTTCATCCTTGAACTGGATCTCCGTCCGCTATGCTATGGGTTGCCTGCAGGACCCGTCTCCTGAAAACCTGCACACATGCAGCTGTCAGTGCCATCTGCGGACAGACGGCTCCCATCTTCCGGGCCCGCGAACTGATAACGTGGATAACTTGAGCTGTCAAGTCTGCTCCCCAGGCTGCTGCTGAGAACTGGCAAAGGGGGAACGCAACAATCCCTAAAAAACACATGTGCTTTTTCTCTCTGCCGCTTTCTGCCGCCTCCAAACCGTGCAGAAGGCGCTGGCACTGTATTACCCGGATGGGGCAGCAGCTCCACCGAGCACGGCCGAGGCCGTGCAAAGCCCCAGCTGGCTGGGAGGACCAGCTGCGGGGCTGGCGGGCGGGCCCTGGTGCAGGGAGCTGGCCACATTGTCTCACAGGCTGATCAACTACAGCCATCTTGCATCAGGGCACCGGCCCAGCAAGACGGCGAGCCAGCCAGCCAGCCCCATCGCCCTGGGCCTGGGAGATGCCACCTGCGAGGGGGCTGGCAGTGCCCGGGGGGCCGAGCCGCGCGGAACCACCCGATCGCGGGGCGGCCCGCTTCGGCCGGGGCCGGGGTCTGAGCGGATCAAGTTGTCTGCGGGCGGACCGGGGTCCGGAGCGGGAGCCAGCAGAGGGCTGTGCGGCCCCGACACAGCAGCCCGAGCGGCCCGACCCGAACGAACGCGGGAGCGGGGCCGCAGACTCCGGTTTGCAAGCTTCCCGCCGGGGACGCTTCCCCCCGGGGGCGCGGCGACCTGGCCGGGCCGCGTCCTCCACCCGCATCCCGCGCCGTCCGGGCGCCTCGGGGGCGCGCGGGAGCGGGAGCGGGAGCGGGGGCGCCCCGCCTCCTCCCGCCGTGGCCCCAGACGCCCGCAGACCGGGCGTTCCCCGGCCGGGCCGCCTCCAGCCACCCCCTCCCGCTGCCTCCCTCCTCCCGCCCGGCGCCCCAAACCGGGGCTTCGCGATTTCGGTGATGACGTGTGCGCACGGAGCCCGGCGGGAGTGCGGGGGGTGGGGGTGGGGTCCGCGAGGTGCGGGAGGGAGGGAGCCCCGGGACGGGGGCGGCCATCGCGGCGGGAGCTTTTGTGTTTGTACACACAGCGCGGCGGCCTCGGCCGGGGTGAGGTGGGGGACGGGGGAGGCAGCGCGCAGGCGCGGCGCCGGGGGAGGGGCGGGGCGAGCGCGCGCCAGCGAACGGGCGCGCGGGGGGCGGGGCGGGGGCGGGGCCGCGCCTTCCCTCCATTGTGTGTGATTGGCTGGCGCGCGGCGCGGGGGGGCGTGGCCGCGCGTGCTGAGAGGGGGGATAACCTCGGTGTCAGCCATCTTTCAATTGTGTTCGCAGCCGCCGCCGCCGCCGCCGCTCTCCCAACGCCTGCGCGCCGCCGCCGCCTCCAGCCTTCGCCGGGCTCCAGCCGAAGGAGAAGAAGGGGGGGGTGAGTTTCCCCGGGACCGAGCCCCGCGTTTCCCCGGGGCCGAGCCCGGGCGGTGCGGGGAGAGGACTCCCCCCCTCCCCCGCCGCCCCAGCCCCTCCGCCGGTTCGGCCCACAAACTTTTTGGCCCAGAAATGGAGGCGGTTTGAGGAGCGAGCGGCGGCTCCCCGGGCTGCTCGCCGCCTCAGCCCAACGGCAGCCGCCACGGCCGCGGCGCCGAGCCTCCCCTCCGCCGCCGCCGCCGCCGCCTCCCGCCCGCGCCCCGAGCGCCCCTTTCTCCTCCGGGGAGAGCCGCCCGCCGGACCCCGGGCCTCGCCGGGCCCCGCGCCCCGGCTTTCGGGCGGGAAAAGCGGGGAAACGGCCGCGGCCGCGGGGGCCACGGGCTGCCCGCGCCGCCGCCTCCCCACAGTTGTTGCCGAGCTTCACCATCTTGTCTCCCTTCTCTCTGCTCGCCGGCCGACCATATTTCTTTTTCCTTTTTCCCCTCCCTCCCCCCTCTTGTTCCTCTCTGTTCCCCATTTCAGAAAAAAAAAAGGAGGAAAATTCTCAGAAGAGGGACAATTTTTTTAAAAAAAATTTATTTTATGACCTTTTTTTGAGAAAGCGGAAACTTGATGCATCTGAAATGCTAAAAAAACAAAAAAAAACTTTTGCATTTTGGAGGGCGGCACGTGGCGGGGGATTTAGGGGGATCGGGGGATTTCGGAGCGTTTTGGTGTGGTTTTTTGTGTGTGTTTTGTGTGTTTTTTTTTGTCTCCGAGGAAGGGGAACTGGAGACGTTTGGCGATTGTTTTTCCATCGCGTTCGGGTCTCGCGGCCGAGTTGGCGGGGCGCGGGGCGCGGGCGGCTGCGGGGGGGCGGGGGGACCCCGAAGGAGCCAAAAGTTTGGGTGCCGCCGGGGTGGGCCTGGGAGCTGGGGTGCGGGCGCCTTTTTTTTCTCTCTTTTTTTTTTCCCTCTTTTTTTTTTATTTTCCTTTCCATCGCGAAGCCTGGTTGGCCCGGAGGACGGTGCTTTGTAGGAGGCTGGCTGGCTGCTTTTTTTTCCCTTTTCCCCAGACGCCTTTTGGCCATTTTAGAACATGGGGGGGGGGTGATGCTCCAGCGGGAGCGCGCCCCGATATTTACGGCGATTTATCAGCCGCCAGACGCCGGGGGCGGGGGGTGGGGGGTCGCCGCTGGAAAAACCTCTTTTTAAAATTTTTTTTTCCTTCTGGAACTGGACTCGGCCTTTCTCTGGTTTGTGGGCCGAATGTTTTGCAGGCATTTCTAATTTCTGCCGTAATTAATGGGCTTGGGAGCCAAGGCTCGTTAGGGGTCTTTTTTTGTTTCTGTCGCTCCGGGTTTTGTGGCTTTTTAAATTTTTATTATTATTATTTTTATTTTTATTTTTGGAGAGGTGATGGGTGTGTGTTGGTCATAATTTTGTAGATCCCGCAGTTTGTTTTGGCGGTGGACGTGTAAGCTGCACCTTTTCGAATTATATAACGTTACCGACATAATTTTTTTTTAATGCTGATCATATTTCCAGATTTTTTTTTTTCTTCCGGTGCTTGGGGGGGGGGGTGTTGGGAAACTTGGGTGTCTGGGGTACGTGGTGATTTCTGGTTTTCTGGCGCCGGCAGGTACGTGAAGAGGTCTCTGTACCATGGCTCGTACCAAGCAGACTGCCCGCAAATCCACCGGGGGCAAAGCCCCGCGGAAGCAGCTGGCTACCAAAGCCGCTCGAAAGAGTGCGCCCTCCACTGGAGGGGTGAAGAAACCCCATCGTTACAGGTATTCAAAATAAAGGAAATAAATGATGGCCCGTCCGGGAGGCAGGCTGTCGATCATAACAGGAATTGGGGGGAGGCCCATCTACACACATTTCTTTTTTTGCCGCGTCAAAAAGAAAAAAATAGGATAGTCCCAAAGCGCATTATCTACATAATCTAATAAAAAGAGGTATAATCAAACTTTTGCTTTAAAGGAACCATTTTTTCCTCTTGTATATTTGCTAATACTTGAAAACTTACATAAAATTTAGTGTTGGGTTTTATTGGGACCTTGTTTAATTTTTAAGCCACAATCGTACCCATAACCCAAAGGAGACCTCTTACATCACTAATAAAGTTGATGGGCTAACAGTTTAGCTTTTAGTAATAGATATTTTTTAAATAGGGTGTTAAAGACACATTTTGAGAATAGCCTTGCTTTTGGCAAGGTAACAATAACTTAACCAAGATTGGGGTTGTTTTTTAGTCCGGTTCCTATCCCTCGTTTACTTGGATTTGCTTATATTCTGTTAATGCCTTTGGTTTTGAACTGCCCTGAGCAGTGTTACTGAAGGCTCTGCCACTAGAGGGCAGAAGAGGCCCTTACTGAGGCAGGCTCTGGGGGGGGGGGTAAAAGCTCATGCAGCGGAAGAAGTCAGTCAGAATTGAGGTAATTTTTTATGACAGATACTTATTAAAACAAAAAACACAGCACCTCCCACAGATAACTGCACAATCTAGGATTATAGAGGATGGGCAGTGACCAAGTAAAGGTATTCTTGGAAGTCAGAGTTAATGCCAGGAGTGTGTTACTAGATGAAGCCTCTTGGGTCTGATAGAAGAATAGAGGGTGTGGGTAGGGAGGAGAGTTGCCAGATTGAGAAGAATCTGAAGAGTGAACAATTCTGGCTTCTTTGTTAGTGGCCCTCATACCTTCCTAAGCTGTCATTGTAACGGAAATAGTGATGTATATGTTAAAGATGAATAATTGGCGTTTTGATAAACTCCCTGCCAGGATTCCAATATGCTTTTTGCTTTAAAGATATTCTGTTACTCTTAAGAGACTTTTTAATGTTCAGGTTATAAATTGGTAAGTGAGATTTAATACAGAAGTTGAGAATTGGGTGGTTTGGGTTTTTTGAGGAGGAAAGACTACAGTTCAGTAAGGCTGACTACTTACTGTTTAAGGTTTCTTATGTAGTATCCGGTAACCATTTTAAGTTAAAAAATGTTTTCTTCTTCTTCTTAAGGCCCGGTACCGTGGCACTTCGTGAAATTAGGCGTTATCAGAAGTCCACTGAACTTCTGATTCGCAAACTTCCCTTCCAGCGTCTGGTGCGAGAAATTGCTCAGGACTTCAAAACAGACCTGCGCTTCCAAAGTGCAGCGATTGGTGCTTTGCAGGTAAGATGGCAGCCGGGAGAGAGGCTCCAAAAGAGTTGGGGGTTTGAGATCATCACAAGCCTGTTTTTCATTGCTGAGCTGTCAGAAAAGGAAGGTTAAGTTGCTCTAGGTCCGTGGTCGTGGTCGGCAGAGTGTGGCTCTTCCACAAAATACCACGGCCTGGGCGAGTCTACTTTGAAGTGGCATTAGAAGAAGTTTAAGTTGAAAAAATTTGGCTCTCCAAAGAAATTTCAATCCTTGTTCTGTTGATATTTCGACCACTGCTCTAGGTCATACAAACAAAATGTAATTTGAACCCGTTTGACTCCAAAGCCTGGTGTGCGTTTTAAAATGTGTAACGCAGCACTGAAGGCGGTGGTTGGGGGAAAGGCGCCCTCGGGGTTGGCTTGTTGATGGATGCTTAGGACAGTGAGACATGGTCTTCGGGCAGGTAGGTTGCAGGTGCTGCTGAAAGGGAAGGTTAGGATAAACGTCTTGCTGGTACTGAAGAGGCAGGTGGAAGTGGAGAGAGCATACTAGCCAGGATGGGACTCAGTACCAGAGAATGTGGTGAGGGAGGAGAAACGGAGTGTGGGTTAGGGTTGGCAGTGGGGAGAGGGTGTGCTTGAAGACACCAGCTTGTAAAGGAACCAGGATTTGAAGACGTGTCCTTTGCTGAGGGGATTAAGGATTTCAACTTAAATGGGAAGCATGTTAAATTTAATCGGCCCAGTGTGTCAGAACTTTGAGAAATGCTATTTTAGGGATGGTTATGTATTTGAAATATTTGTGGTTTATGCTGAGATTGAATTTGAAATGCCCACAATAATTTGATTAGGTACATGGGAATAAACGTAATTTAAGTAACCCTGTTTTTATTATGTGTTTGGCATTCTTTAGATCAGTGTGTCTCAAAACACCATAAAACTGCCTCTTGGAAGGGCATAGGGTTGGCAATGGTTGAAATGCAGATTGCTAGGCACCACCACAGATCAGAATCTGAATTTCTCTGGGAAGGAAGGGTCTAGAATCTACATGCCCGCCATTGGGAGATTTTCCAGGCTGCTGTTGCTGTGCCAGGCTTCTGCTTTATAAGAGAAGGACGTGATAGGTGGATTCTGCACTGAAGTGTAATTGGTTGAGCTGTTTCTATGGTTAGTCTGAACTGCATTTGATTGGTGCATTCCAGGCGTGGGCAGCAATTAATTGTCAATGAATTGAAATTTCAAACTACCAAAATCTTCTGGGGCTGTTACTTAAGACTTTATTTTCTGTTTTCAGCACTGATCATCTTCAGGCCCTGTTTCATTTATTATTGCTGTTGCAAATCACAATTTCCCCACCATCTTAATACGGAGATATTACTAAGAATCTTAGCATTGATTCAGAGCTGCTACTTTTATTTTCTAGTTAGAGTTAACAGGACTTGAAAATTATACTTGAAAATTCAACATTTTAAGTTTGTCAGTGATGTAGAGACATAAATTGAGATTGAATTCCATGAGTAAACTTCCATTGTTACTGAGTTTAAATGTCAGTATTCAGCCTTGTAAATTAAGATTACTAAACAATCTGGATAAAAAGACTATTGTCTTTAAAAATGCATGTGTAAACTTTTATTGTTGCTGTTAAATATAGTTATTGGTTTTGATGAAATGTCCACCTCTGCTGCCCATAATATTCTAGTATTAGATCATTCTTATTTTTATTGGCAAGTAATCTTTATTACACGTTATTTTATATATGCACTTCAGTTCTCTTAAAGATAGAGATTGGAAATTTGCTAATAAAAATAGAGTAATAAAAAGAAAGCATTGGATTTACAAAGGTTTCTTTGTTTTTTGCTTCACAATTAACATCATTTACAACTTTTCTAATACAACTAAATAAGGGTGGGAGGGTAGTTTAGTAAGGATGGTAGAAAAGTTAGTCTAGGTTTGCCATAGATATCAAATTTACGTTAAAAACGGACACATTTGTTGAAATGGCGGCAGGGTCGGGCATTGGACGATATTAATGAAGCCAGGCGTGAGACAGGACTGAGCCTGGCTGCCTGCGCCATCTGAGCAGTGCGGGGGAGGGAGTCTGGTTAGTAAATGGGCCCCCAATCACAGGGCCTGTTGGCCATGGAGCAGCTCGGACTACTGCTTTTTCTTTTCTTTTTGCAAAAGCATTCTAAATCTGCATAATGCTGAGGGAAGGTGGGTAAACTTCGAACCTCCCAAGAGTAGGCCACAGAATGCTATATTTTCCAAACTTTTTATTCATTTCTAGAATATCTCAAGAATAAATCCTTGAATATTAAAGACTTTTGCTGTTAATACATTTTTTTTGAATGAGTTTGATATGAGGGACCCATTGTATAGAAAATATGCAAATTTAAGTTAGGGTTAAATAGAAAAATGCAGCAAATATTTATTACACATCTACTTAAAAGCGAGGCATTATGAGAATAAAATGAAATCCCTATTAAGTAACTGAAGGCCTTAAGAGTTGGCTGGTGCACAAGACTAACGGTGCCGAGGATGGAGGCGTTTCAAGGTTCCCTGCCCTGGGAGCCGGGTAAGAGCAGTGCCTGCCTGCTCCTTGCTGTGACGCCCTAAGGCAGGCCTGAGAGGGCCCTGGGACCGGCCACGGTAACCAATGCTCAGAAAGATGTACGGAAGGGAAATTTGGGTGAAACTGGTTTTTATAGGAGAGATTAGGTTAAGCTCATAAAGGTGAAATATTTTTTGTAAGATGAAATAATGTAAACCATTTTAATTAAGCGTTGCTGTGTTAATGCTATTAAAAGCAGAATGTTTGTGGTTTTATTGCATAGTCAAAACTTTTGTAAAAGGCAGACCTGGCTATCCCATCTATGTGTCTTATGTGATATGGGGCTTGACCCGGGTTTGTTTTGTTTTAAATATATTTTTATTGATTTCAGAGAGGGAGAGAGAAATTGAAACATCAGTAAGGAGAGAGAATCATTGATCGGCTGCCTTCTGTACATCCCCTACTGGGGATTGAGCCTACAACCTGGGCATGTGCCCCTGCCTGGAAACAAGCCTGGACCCTTCAGTCCGCAGACCGGCGCTCTACCCACTGAGCCAACTTTTCAGACAGCTGTAAAGATGCACGAACATTCTGAGTTGAGTTTAAGTAGAAGCTCCCCATTCCCTCTTTGTACACTTGGTGTCCGTGAAGGATTCCCACAACTAGCAGTTGTTGAGTGATGTAGGGATAAGAATATGCCTTCAAAGAATCTGAGCTTGTGATAGGAAAAACCCAATGGATCAGTATTAACGCCATATACTGGGGTGTATAGGGGAAGGTAAGCTCGATAGGGGCGGGGTGCACATCTATGAGGCAAAATAGGTCCTCGTGTGTGCTCCGGAACCTATAGTACTGGTGGTAGAGTCTGAGTGTGAGAGGGAGGGCGATCGGGAAGGGCGGTAAGATGGACACGCTTTGTCGGCTCTATTGCATTATTTGGCAAGGCAAGGTTCAGACCTATCTTGGAGTGGGAGTGGGAGTGATTCAGAAAGAGACACTGCGGGGGAAGGAATATTTGGATTGGTTATGGTTCCGTTTATAAGCTGTCTTTTAGCTTTGTCCCCTGGGTTTTAAATGTAAGCATTTGGTAAAATAGTTAACGTCTCTGAAGCATGCTTTTAAAGGGTAACATGGGAATACCATTAATATTTTTTTTTTCCCGTTCCTGTTGTAGGAGGCAAGTGAGGCCTATCTGGTTGGCCTTTTTGAAGACACCAACCTGTGTGCTATCCATGCCAAACGTGTAACAATTATGCCAAAAGACATCCAACTAGCACGCCGCATACGTGGAGAACGTGCTTAAGAATCCACTATGATGGAAAACATTTCATTCTTTTAAAAAATTTCTCTTCTTCCTGTTATTGGTAGTTCTGAACGTTAGTTTTTTTTTTGTTTTGTTTTTTTCCATGGGGTCAAAAGGTACCTAAGTATATGATTGCAAGTTGAAAATAGGGGACAGAAATCAGGTATTGGCAGTTTTTCCATTTTCATTTGTGTGTGGATTTTTTTAATATAAAAGCGGGGACATAAAGCATTAATGCAAGTCAAATGTTTCAGTGAACAAGTTTCAGCAGTTCAACTTTATAACAATATAAATAAACCTGTTAAATTTTTCTGGACAATGCCAGCATTTGGATTTTTTTAAAACAAGTAAATTTCTTATTGATGGCAACTAAATGGTGTTTGTAGCATTTTTATCATATAGTAGATTCCATCCATTCACTATACTTTTCTAACTTAGTTGTCCTACATGCAAGTACATGTTTTTAATGTTGTCTGTCTTCTGTGCTGTTCCTGTAAGTTTGCTATTAAAATACATTAAACTATACCTGCTTTTGGTCTTTATTATCAACCTTACCTTTCCTTATAATTCACTTGAAATGTTCATATTCGGAGTAATTTTAGTATCGTTTTGTCAGCTTATATCTGAAACAGTTTATTGAGAGGGAAAAGTATAACCCTTGCATAGTGAACCTTTTTGCCAAAACCAGATCTTAACTCTTGGATATGTTGTATTCTAAACCAGTAACTTTCAAACCTAGCCAGCTAACGGTATCACACGGAAAGCGTGGAAGTCTGTAAGTAGTGACAGTACATTTATAGACACACAGTCCAGTCCAAAATTTTTAAGATGCTGTGGGATGATAACCAACCTTTTAAGACCTATAACTCCACCCTAATACTAACCGATAGTTGTAACACTAGTGTGTTCCATTTGTACTGGTTTTTTAGAGGAAGGGGAGAGAATCTATTGGCTGCTTCCTGGATGGCCCCTCTCGGGGAGTTGACCACAACCCAGGAATGTCCCCTGCCTGGCAACCTTTCCGTGCGCGAGCCACACCAGCCAGGGCTAACGGGGGTGAGTTAAGCTCCGGGAAGTGAAGTGAAATATTAATCATCAATGTACTAAGAACAGGCCCACGTCAAAGTGTCATGAGCTTATGTTCTTGCTGGTTGTAAACTTTATAACTCCATTTTTATATTGTTATAAAAGTCCCTTAGTGAGGATTATGGAATATTTTTAGAGCCTACCATTTAGGGGTCTTAATGTGACCCTTTGTATATGCTTCCACTGGCGGGCACTAGTAGAAGTATTGGCAAGAGCATCTAGTGTGTTCATTGCAATGTAAGCTAAGCCAGTTGAATAGAATGGCCCCTGGTCATGAACACGGGAATGGGTGTCTCCAATAGGACTGGGAGAGTCCCCTGCTAAAAGTTTGTAGACCAGGGCCTTGCTGCTCACTGTCCAGGTGTTACACAGTGAGTCATCCATTACAAAAAGCTGGCAGAGTAGATGAACGTGGCACCAGAGCAACATGTTTGGGGAGTGTACTGAGCTTGTCTCAGTAAAGCCTGGTCTGTTCCTATCTCACAGGTTTTCTCATTCCAGCTCGGGAAAAGCTGAAGGAATGTGTGATGAGTGGGAACTGGCTGAATTTACCACACTTGGTCAGGCTTAGCTTTAGCATCTTCAAGGTAAACAGCTTTTGAATACTAAAGTAACTTGATACAAGTAAAAAAAAAAAAACAAACTATAAAATTATATGGCAAGATAATTTTTTAATTGATTTTTTTTTTTTTTACAGAAAGGAAGGGAGAGGGATAGAGAGCTAGAAACATCGATCAGCTGCCTCCTGCACACTCCCCATTGGGGATGTGCCCTGGACTGGAATTGAACCTGGGATCCTTTAGTCTGCTGGTCCATGTTCTATTCGCTGAGACAAACCAGTTAGGGCTGGCAAGATAATTTTTACTTGATTTTAGGGCAGAGAAACCAAATGTGTTCCACTTATGCATTTGTATGCTCCCTCAGCAGGGATTCCAACTTGGTATATGAGATGGTGCTCTAACCAACGGGGTTCTCAGCCAGAACCAAAGCAAAATAATTTTAGGTTAGTTCATGGAGAAACCAGAATTTCTGTAGCTGGAAGAACATTTAGGAGGGAATTTGGAATCATGCTCTTAAGTTGGGTCCTTTGAAACAAATTGGGAGAAGCTCACTTTGCTAATAGGATTGGGTTAATGCTTGAATAATGAACAGTACCCCATCCTTGACAGCCTAGAAACAGGAAATTCAAATATGCAAATTTAGGGCTGCTGGATGCAGAAAATGTAAAGGCACAAAGGTGCTCGCACTCAAATGTAATTCTTAACCTTAAGATGGGTCTATCATACACCCTGTTTGATAGGTAAGGAACATGCCAAGATCACAGTACATTGAGATGGGATATGTTCTCCAATAGACAATACCCTTGCTCTTATTTTTTTTATATGTTTTATTGATTTTTTACAGAGAGGAAAGAAGAGGGATAGAGAGAAGCATCGGTGAGAGAAACACTGATCAGCTGCCTCCTGCACACCCCCCACTGGGGATGTGCCTGTAACCAAGGTCCATGCCCTTGACCGGAATCGAACCCGGGACCCTTCATTCAGTCCGCAGGCCTACGCTCTATCCACTGGGCCACACCGGTTTTGGCTGGGCCTTGCTCTTTTAATTCATAAAATAGTTCATTTTGGGGAGGGGGTTGCTAGAAGTTAAGAGTCTTGACAGTAATAACAGATGGAAAAAGAATAGACAATGCAGAAATCACAAGAAAACTATTTCAAGACGAGGTTTGAGTGTTGACCATTACATTTGGCGACGTGGAATTGGTGCTTTTGACAAGAACCGTTTTGGTGAAAATAGAGAACAAAGGTGACTGGGGCTTCCCATCGTCAGTAAGGAGACGGGTGAGGCTGTGCACCTCCTAATGTACAAAGCCGAGGGCAAGGCGTTTACACAGTGTTTCCCCTGGACGTGATCCTGAGGGGACAGCCAGGGAAACGCAAAGTGCACAGCATCCTGCAAACAATTCCTCCACAGGAAACGGTCAGGGGGACCGGCCCCCACTGCCAGCGGCTGCAGCTGGGCCAGCAGGTGCCCACACCCGGCCCTTCCTGGGCATCTCGAACCCAGAGCGCCCGGCCGAAGATGCCTCCTGAGCGTCGCTGCCAGTCCCGGGACATTGGGGTGCGAAACGCAGCTGCAGCATCCGGTGGAGGGAGCGCACGTGGCCTTTGCAAAACAAAGCTGGCCGGTGCCCAGCCGCCTCGCCTCCCGAGGAGCTGGATGCAAATGTCACATTTACGATCAGAGAACCGTTAGCGGGTGGACACCGTGCTCTTGGGGAGCAGCAGTTCCTGCGCGGGGCGACGCCCCCACTCTGTCCTTCCGCCCCAGCAGGAGGGCCTCAGTCTTTATTTTATTACTATTATTTTAAATATATTTTATTGACTTACTTTACAGAGAGGAAGGGAGAGGGAGAGATAGTTAGAAACATCAATGAGAGAGAAACATCCATCAGCTGCCTCCTGCACACCCCCCCACTGGGGATGTGCCCGCAACCGAGGCACATGCCCTTGACCGGAATCGAACCTGGGACCTTTCAGTCCGCAGGCCGACGCTCTATCCACTGAGCCACACCGGTTTCGGCTGGCCTCAGTCTTTTTTTTTTTTTTTTTTTTTAATATATTTTATTGATTTTGTACAGAGAGGAAGGGAGAGAGATAGAGAGTTAGAAACATCGATGAGAGAGAGTCATCAATCAGCTGCCTCTTGCACACCCCCTACTGGGGATATGCCCGCAACCAAGGTACATGCCCTTGACCGGAATCGAACCCGGGTCCCTTCAGTCCCCAAGCCGATGCTCTATCCATTGAGCCACACCGGTTTTGGCTGGCCTCAGTCTTTAAACCACTTGTACTTGGCTGAACTGGTCAGGGAGCCCAGGCCTTTGGGGAACAGTCACTGCCCCTCCCTGCTTCCCCCTCTGCCCGGGAGGAGGGGTGGCCCCTTGGCCCCCATACCCAGGAGCTGCATTCTGGGGGGACACTCAGGAGGGGGGGCCAAGCTGAGGGAAGGGGCTGGAGGGCCCCCGGGTTAGCGTGTCCCATGGCCCCCGGATGAGCAGGACTTACACGGATCCCCACCGTCCTGCCTGCGGGTTGTTCCTAAGGGATGGATGACGAGGTCACAGAGGCCGAGGGGCTGCCCCGGGGGGAGAGGGAGTCCCCAGAGCTGGAGGAGCGGGGCTTGGGGACACACAGAAAGGGGTGCTCATGTGGCTGGCAGCAGACCTGGGGAGAGGAACTGTCTCCCAAAGGCCTTTCTCGGCTTCTCCCATTGACTGGGGTGCAGGCTGGAGAGGACCCCAGGACGGACAGCACCCCGCCCTCCCCAGGAGTTTCCCCCGATCCCATCAAATCCGAGAGCTTCCGGCTTCACAGCACTGAGCGGGGCACTGAGTCCGGAGCAAACCCCGGGCGCAGTCCTCAGCTGAGCGGGAGGACGGTACCTCCCTCCTTTCCGCGGGGTCTACTACCTGGGACTGTCCCAGAGCCCCTTCCTTCCACAGCCGGTGGGGGAGCTGTCATCCCAAAGCCGACCAGCCCTCCCGCTCTCCGGACATAACAACCTTCCAGTGCCCTCGGCAGGTAGTCCCCTCAGACTGTCTCTTGCTTCAGCCGTGTTTGCACAGAACACACCTAGAGATTTCTCTGTACCCCCTCTTCCAGCCTCAGACCACCCTCAACCTCTTTCCTGTCACCACCTGTTCCAGACCAGCCAACACCATCCCAGACCAGCCAATATCTTATCAGACCAGCCAACACCATTCCAGATCAACCAACACCATCCCAGACCGACCAATACAATCCCAGACCAGCCAACACCATCCCAGACCAGCCAATATCTTATCAGACCAGCCAACACCATTCCAGACCAGCCAACACCATCCCAGACCAGCCAATATCTTATCAGACCAGCCAACACCATTCCAGACCAGCCAATATCTTACCAGACCAGCCAACACCATCCCAGACCAGCCAGCACCGTTCCAGACCAGCCAACACTATTCCATACCGGCCAACACCGGTCCAGATCCGACAATACCACTCCAGACCAGCCAACACCATTTTTGAGCTGCACTCCTTATTGCTGAGCAGCCATGGGCTCCCCAATTCCCCAGTCCTCCCAGCCAGGGGGAGGCCCCTCGGCCACCGCCCCCCCTGCCTCAGTGGCCGCCCTCCCTACCTCTCTCCGGGCGTCTGCTCCCACCTCCACGGGGGCTCAGGGCGAGGCCGCTGCTTCCCCAGCTCCCAGCGGAGAAGCCGGCCCAGGGCTCCGGGAGGGGCAGAGCCTGGGCAGCGGGGCCTCCTCCAGGGCGGGCAGGGCCTCCGGGCGAGTGGGCACAGCAGGCCGCCGGGGCCCTGGGAGAGCCTGGCCAGGCCCCTGGGGTCTGCAGGCCCCTCACACAGTGACTTCCGGGAGAACCACTTCCGGGTCAGAAG